CTTAATTTCCTTTCCAAGCTCAAATTTGCTTCTCTACTGAAAATATAAATCTGGACTCCAGAGGACAGAAAGGTTGGTTATAGAGATTTGAGATCATAAACACGTGGGTAATAGAAATGGATAAAGTGCTTGGAGTAATAAGAAACAAGAACAAAGTGAAGTTTTAGAAGGTCCATATTCTGCAGGGTAGAAGCCAAGGAAGTAATAAAGTAAATCTTGATGGTTTACTTATTTAGTACATATACATTATGATGAACATGTTTATATAAACTCAGAGTTGAATAAGATAGGTTTTTCATTGGTTTTGAAATGTGTATGCAGTTTATCCATCTTGATTTCAAGATCCTCAAGGCCTGAATCTGCTTCCCCTTCTTTTATAGTTTTCTAAACTCATGATCACGATCACTAAGGAGCTCTGGTAGCGTAGTGGTTACGAATCGGGCTGTGAGCCACAAGGTCAGCAGTTCGAACCTACCAGCGGTTCCGCGGGAAAAAGATGAGGCAGTCTGCTCCTGTAAAGACTTACAGCCTCGGAAACCCTGTACAGGGTCGCTATGAGTCGGAACCGACTCCACGGCACACAACAACAACAACAACAAACTCACGATCACTAGCAACAATCTTAGACATATCATGAAACTTTATAACTCACTGAATTTGAACATGGCTAAGTCCCATTTTCTCCTTCTACCCCAAGTTTCTCTGAGATCAAGTTTCTAATTTCTTGCATAAACCCCTATAAATCCCTCCCAGAAGTCTTGGCTATTAAGGAATGTGGGTTTAAAGAAATGTTTGGGCTATAAAGTTGGTTTTCGAAGAGATGTGTCAGGGGTCATCAATGGGAAAACCTGCTAAGACTGATGAGAAAACATGAGTCTATAGTTAGTTTCTTAATGGGAAAAAGTATATTCCAGTCTCTGAGACATCATGGAAATTGGATTTGGAGACTAAGACCTATATATGGAGAGAGGGAAAGTTTGCAAGAAGCTTATAGCAATAATTGCTAAACTGTCCCAACTACTGATCAAGTACAATTAACCCAACTTCCTAACTTTCCACAGGGAAAAAAGTGGAAAAGCAGATTATAAGGCCTAAGACTGAGCAACCCAAACAACTAATTCCAAAACTAAGATACTAAAATGTACTCCATTACAAGATGTACCTCGTGGCAGATGGCATTTCCCCTTTATCTTCTTCTCTAACTAACCCCTTTTCTCCTCTTCGAACATACTCGTTATGCTCACGCGGACACTTGATTTTTCCCCACTATCTTTTATCTATATACGTATCTAAGTGTAAATATGTTTATGTGTTCTTTGGTAGGAGTGGTTTCCAATATCTTTGGTCTAGCAAGATTTCCATGTTAGTATTGTTTCACTACCTTTTAGTTGGTTCTAACTCATAGCAACTCTATATAGAACTACCCCATAGGTCATCAATCTTTTGGAAAGCAGACCATTGTATCTTTCTTCTGCAGACTAGCTGGTAGTTTCCACTGTCAACTTTACAGTAAATAGCAGAGCATTTAATCATTGTCCACCCAGGCTCTATAACGTGAGCTTTGGCTACCTAAAATCAGAAAACAGATGACCCAAGTTTCAAATGCTGCTATATTAGGTTCCAGTGAACAATAAAAGAGACACTATGAGGGCACTGGTGTTTCAGTTGTAGAATTCTCAGGCAGGAGACCCAGGTTCAATGCTGGCCAACATATCTCAGGTGCAGCCAGCACGCATCTGCCACATGTGCCTGTGTTGCTATATTGCTGAACAGGCTTCAGTGGAGCTTTAATCTAGAAAGGCATCCCAAGAAATCAGCCTATGAAAACCCTATGGCTCACTATGGTCTAAACCAAAGACTAGGCACCAACAAAACAAGAAAGACACTACAGCATAGTAAGGAGGAAGACTAACTGTAAGAGTGAAGGATAGGTGATTACTACAAGTCTATTGGGAGCTAGATAAATAAATCCAGACACCAATAACAGATAGGAGAGAGGGTGGCAAGGAACAAGTGTTGAAGACTGGAAAAGGTTAAGAAGTCAAGGTTAAGTAATAGTACAAGCTTTCGAGTCAAAACCTGGCTTTAAATCTTCACCTGTAGTCAAGAGATCAATAAGAAAGTTCTGAGCTGAGTCTCAATATTTTCACCTAATTCATAAGTCAGCTTTGAAGATTGTATGAGATAATATAGTAAGCATGATGCTTAGAAAATACACTGAATAATTGGAAGCTTTTGTAGTTATATTTAAGGATAAAGAGCCCCAAAGCAGAACTGCTAGCCTACCAGTCTTGGTAATTTCCAGAGAAGTACAAATAACTTAATCAGAGATAGAACAATCTCTCATAAAATCGAGAAAGATTTGAGACTCAAAGCCACAAAACAGTGAGCCTTTTTATTACATTGTTGTTAAGTGCTGTCAAGCCCACTCCGACTTATAGCGACCCTGCACAGGGTTTCCAAGTGAGCTTCAACCAACAACCTAATGGTTCAAACCGGCCTTGCAGCCCAGCGCATTAACCTGCAACGCCACACAAGGACATACTGTTATTATATATTGAAGCATAAATCTACATTTGTTGTTGTTGTGTGACGTTGAGTCAGTTCTGACATATAAAGTTTCCAAGAAGCAGGTGGTGGGTTTGTACCACCAACCTTGGCAGTCCAGTGCTGATCCTACAGCAGCATATAAGGAGCTCTGGTAACGTAGTGGTTATGAATCAGGCTGCAAACCGCAAGGTCAGCAGTTCGAAACTACCAGCTGTTCCGCGGGAGAAAGATGAGGCTTTCTGCTCCTGTGAAGATTTACAGCCTCAGAAACCCTGTACAGGGTCACTATGAGTCGGAACCGACTCCGCGGCACATGACTACCACCAAAATGACACAGCCTAACAGTAATGTTAAATTTACCACTAGGTGGCATTGATACAGACTGAATTTCACTGACAAAGTTAATTTTAAAAAGTGAGTAAATCAACAGAAATTTCAAGTTTTATAATACAAACTTTTTTCAAAAAGTAGAAATTTCCTTTATAGACAATTTAATTTATAGCAGCTTATGTAATGACCTGACTCAATATGCATGCTAACATCTGATACCTTTACCCTCTGTTCACTATAGCAATTCATGCAAAAAATACAATTTTTTGAAGTTCTCACTAGAGATTTCTTTTTTTTTTTTTTAAATCTAAACATATAACAAGACATTATCAACACCAAACCCACAGTCATCAAGTCGATTCTAATTGACAGCAGCCCTGCAGGTTCTCAAGAGTGTACAACTTCACAGAAGCAGAAAAGCCTCACTCTTTTCCCTTGGAGCAGCTAGTGGGTTTGAACTGCCGACCTTGCAGTTAGTAGTCTAGTGCTTATCCTACAGCAACAGCAGGGCTATCAGGAATTAGGGAAAGCTGGGTTTGAACCACAAGGTTGACAGTTCAAACTTACGAGATGCCCCTCAGAAACCCTATACAGGGTCACTATGGGTCGGAACTGACTCGACAGCACTTAACATCTTTCTAAAGTGCTAGAATTATAAGAAAGGTACTATGCAATGCAAAGTATTACAATGAAAATGTGAAGTCTTTAAAAATGACTAATAGAGACCAACCGTAAATTAACATTTTAACAATTTGGGATCAAAGTATGACATAATATTCAGAGAATTTGCTTTCAAACTACAAACACATTAAATTAATATTCACATCTGTTGTTGTTAAGTGGCATCGAACCAGTTTGAGTCCAAAGGGTTTCGAAGGAATGGCTAATGGATTAGAACCTCCAACCTTGTGGTTAGCAGTCAAGTGCTTATCTTACAGAGCCACACCAGGATTCCAAATATTCATATAGGTAGGCTTTTCATTGTCTTGAATAAACATTGAGTTTTCTAAGCATATTAATCTAAATTCTGACTTAAATCAATTAAATTTTAGAAAAAAAGTGTTTCTTTCCCAAGTGTCAAAATAATAAATGATAAAATTCCCTACAGTCTGGATTTTTCACAAGTATTTCTTTCTGTAGAAAACAAGTCACAAACATGGCTTACTTGAAATAATAAAAACTTTATTCCTGTCATTTCTTCTTTTCATATCAAATAGAACAGTCAGGTAAGACAAACTTTTCCAAATTATAACATTTTTGGGTAACATTTCCAAGTATTCGGAGAAAAATCAAAAACATAGTAACTTTAAAATGCCTGGGATGTTGTTTCACCAAATAAAAGGCAGGACCTTCTGCCATCACATGTAATGTTACAAAACCTGTACTATAATTAGATGAATAAATAAATCTAAACTTTTAGCCAATTCATAAAACAACAAGGCCCAATTAATATAAGCCTGTTATTTCCTTTATATAAATAACCTAAATTCTCAAAATTTTCAATTCTCAGTTACCTACAAATGATTGAAGTAACTCTTTTATATATCGAGTTTCTAAGTTTCACTAATTTAACAATCAAGTCCTAGATTTACTCCATTTCCAGAATAATCTCCCTCTCATCACCCACACAAATGAGAACAGAAATTTAATTTCAAAGTTATTTTTGTAATTCTTGCATCTGTTTCCGCTTATTACTGATCTTCATTTTGAATTATTACTACAGACACCCTCAAATCTAACAATATAGATCTTTCTCATCTTGTCAGCCTAATGAGACACATAAAAGAGACAATCATTTAAGATGGTTAGCACAAGAAAGGATTACTATGGCAGCCCTCATAAATCAAGCAAAAGACTCAGGGGAGTGTTCATTGTTATCTATTGCTAGAAATTTTAGGGAATACCACAATTCTGGAAAGGATAGTGATAGATCTACAGAAGTGAATACAGGTATACATTTCTTTTATACATTATCAGCTTGTGAGAGAAATGGAAGGACAAGAAACACAGATGATATAAAACAATCCTCAAACCCCTTAGATACTGTCTAGTACCTGTATTTCACAGGACTGTGTCTGAGAATTCAGAAGACAAATAAAATTAAACCATCTTGCAAAGAGGTGAAAGTCCTAACCACAATTACCAAAACAATGGTAAAACAAAAACATTATTGATTTGAGTTTGTCATCTTCTGTTTATTTCTGATGGTGGCTCGAAGTTTACGTATTACCAGTTTATCAGGCAGAATCATATCACCTTGTTGTTCTAGATAATCCAGTAAATTTTCAGTCCATTGGAGAGCAGCTGCATGATTAATATGTTTCTCTGGAATCAACTCTATCTCCTCCTCCTCATTTTCACTGGATTCATCCGTCTGGCCTTGTGCTCTTCTGATGATTTCGCTGTCAGTTAACACTTCATAGCCTGGTTCAGTACTGTCTACCTCAAGCCATTTTTCAATGTTCTCAGTAGTCACATTTTCCAATCCTTTGGTGTGCTGCAGAATGGTGGCCACAGTGGCTAGTGAAATATCTTCTTCGTCAAAGTCCAAGACTTCTTTTTCCTCTATGGTAGGAAGAATCTTCTTCCATGCTCTGCTAATAGTAACTGGTTTTACCAAGTTCCATGCCATTGCTACTTCATAAAGCGCATCTAGTAGAGTCAGCTTCTTCCAAAATGATTTCAGGTCATTACCTTCTTCCAAGTTGTTCTGGAGAAGGCCTGCACGATAGTTTCTCTTCATTGTCGCCATGACCCCCTGATCAGAGGGTTGAATCAATGAAGCTACGTTGGGTGGTAAGTATTTAGCAAATATTTGGCCATCATCTGACCTCAGGACATTTTCATTTGGATGCGTTGGTGAATTATCCAACAAGAGCACAGCCTTTTCCTGTAGGCCTTTAGACCTTAAGTACTCTCGAACTTGTGGCACAAAGATCTTATCAAACCACTGTCGGAAAATGGAAAGATTCATCCATGCACCCTTTTGGTTGAAATAAGAGACTGGCAAGTTTGTGGTGTCAGTTGACTTGAAAGAACGAGGCTTTTTTGCTTTTCCCACAACACAAAGCTTAAGTTTATGTAGGCCCGTTGCATTGGCACAGCACATGATAGTGACTCGTTCTTCAATTGATTTGTGCCCAGAAGCAGTGCATTTACCTTTGATTACTGAAGTTCTAGAAGGAAGACACTTCCAAAACAGTCCAGTTTCATCTGCATTGTAGATTTGTTCAGGCTGCAAATTTTCTTGTTCAATGAAGTCCCGAAAGTTGTTGCAAAACTCTTCCACAGCAGTCTCTTCTCCATCTAACCTTTCATTTCTAATGTTAATCTCTCTAATGCTGTGTCGCTGTTTAAAACGAGTTAACCAACCAGACGAGGGGTTAAAATCACCATCCATCCCCAAAGCATAAAAGAAAAACTCTGCTCTTTTTGCACAAATTGGTCCAGATATGGGATTCCCTTTTGCTCTTTGTTGGTTGAACCATTCCAACATTGCTCTGTCCAGTTCTTCATACATGGATGGCTTCATAGATTTTCTCTTGGCCAGAAGACTTGTAGAATCAGAACTGCTTGCGTATGTTATAATCTTTTCCTTATTTTTTCTTATATCTCGAACTGTTGTTTCACCAATCCCATAAATAACTGCCAACTGTTTGGAAGAACCTCCGTCTTCAAGTTTCTTTATGATATCGAGCTTATCTTTAATAGTCAGCACCACACGCTTCCGTTTCCCTGACATGGTGAGACTTTGGGAGTCAGCCCACACTCCACTGAAGCAATACACAAAATCTCTCCTTCCCTCACACTGATTCACTTTATCAATCTTAAGGATTTTCAACTTTATCAAGAACCTGGTGGCCCTGATCCCCTCCTAGGCTGGACGTGACTAGCAAGGGAAAGCAAAAGAAGGTGGGTGAGGGCAGGGAGGTTCTGGGAACAGGCCTTTAACTTAAATGGGCAGTAGAGAAGGCCCCAAGTCACCGCGGTTAATCCGGACTACCGACATTTGTTTTTTATTTCCCCAGTGGTTTTGAGAAAGGCTATAACCCCATGTTAACTACAAACCTCCTCCACACCCAGGTCACGATTAAGCGCCCGTCACTAACCCAGCTAAACCCCAAAGTTAAGGGAAAGAGAGGAAGAGCCACGGAGGAGAGGGCTGGCGCCCGCCCTGTCTCCCCTTTACGTTTGGTCCCTTCTCCAGTTACCGGCCCCTTCCGGCACACAGCCCCGCTTCCCTGAGCCAGTCCTAGTCCGGACAGTCCTCCCGGCCCTCTCCCCACCTCAGTTGGAACCAGGACCCCCGCACAGATCCCTGACTACCGCGCGGCAACAGCTCCTCCCCTAGTACACACTCCCGGAAGACGTCCCTCCCGCCTCTAGGACCCGCCCCTTTTCCCCCCTCCCAGAGGCGGGACTTCCCCTGGTCTCCGGAAGGAGGAGCGTCACTAATCAAGGAGTAGATGCTGGGGGCGGAGCCACTTTGAAAGGTGAGGGTGTGGGGTGGCGCAGAGCCAGATGGAGGGCGGGTACTCGCAAGCTTCAGCGGGGGCAGTCAGTTGTTTACCCACAGTCGTCTTGTAGATTCCAACACATTGCGACAGTGTATGGCAGCGTGGAACTGCCCCATAGGGTTCCCAAGGCTGTCGGAAGCCCAATGCCACATCCTCCCGCCAGCGGCTGGTTGAGTTGGAACCCCATTCGGTTAGTAGCGAAGCAGAAGAGGGACAGCTGCGTCTTTCTGCAGGTGAAAGAAAGTTCCCGCGGGCGCGTTGTCGAGATGGGCGGGCAGCTGCCTCAACCACTCACAGTCCAGTGTCCTGCGCTTAGGCTGTGCCTGTTTCCTTCCGCTGTGGGCAGGGCTGGGAAAGTGCGGGAAGCTCATGTGATTTCTTGGGTCACTAGCCTTTCCAGATCCTTGTTACTGGGTACGTACCCCTTTGGGGCTTGGAGATACTTACCCTACGGCGCTGTCATCCCGAAGCTGTTTGTGAGGGTCTCTTTGCCTAGGTACAGGCCCCTCCTTCCTGAGGGCTGAGTGGCCGACCGGCGGTCGTGCGTCGCTGGATGCAACCTAAAACCCGGTTGGTAATCCAGAAAAGAGCTGCGTTATTTCTTCCTGCCACTCTAAACTTCAGCGTTAGAAATTTTAATGAATGATATACTTGGCCCAGTGCCAACCTGGCAGAACCGGCTTTCAGAATCGTGCAGTGTGGGAATAATTTAAAATCTGGAGAAACTGACTCTACTCTATGTGTTTCATGTGTTCCTATTTATATCGTGTTCTGTGTCTTGTTTCCAGCCAGTAGAAGAACGATGGTACATTTATTCAAAGCAGTATGATAACATGATGAGAAGCAGCCTGTAGCGTTTTCTCACGTAGTTTGCTAGTTTGTTTTGATTTCCGTAGTAATTTCATCAAATAGATTGTGAGCTCCTTGGGAGCAGAGGCTGTAACTTTGATTTCTTCTAGTGAGGCCACAGCTCCTAGTATGTGCGGGTATACAGTAGGCGTTTAATTATTATTTCTTTGGTTTATTAATGTTTCTCTCCTACCTAGCTCCATTTGCCAGATAAAAGAAAGCATCGAGGGGGGTTAATGGTATACAAATCTGAATGCCCTAGTGATGGAGTTTCAACCAACTGTTGGCATTCCAGTTTTTGTGGCAAGGAGGTAACTCCTGTTGGTGCTGTAGGTTCCCACTCAGCCAAACTATGCAAAACCGAACAAAACACTGGTAGGTCCTGTGCCAACCTCAAAATCATTGTTATGCTTAAACCTATTGTTGCAGCCATCTCCTTGGGATTCTTCCTCTTTTTTGCTGACCCTCCACTTTACTAAGCCTGATGATGTCCTTCTCCAGGAACTGATCCTTCCTGACAATATGGCCAAAGTATGAGACAGAAGTCTGGCCATCCTGGTTTCTAAGGAGCATTCTGGTTGTACTTATTCCAACACAGATTTGTTTGTTCTTGGCAGTCCAAAGTACTTTTTTTTTTTAATTTAAGGTTTTTATTGTGGATTGAGTGAAAGTTTACAGAGCATATCATCAGTTTTACATTGAACAAATCATACACCTTGTTTCATTACAATGATTATAATCCCCTCCATGTACCATCAGTTAACAGTATTTCTCTCTATGCACCTTAGCTTTTTTTTTTTTTAAAGGTTTTTATTGTGGATTGAGTGAAGGTTTACAGGGCACATCATCAGTTTCACATTCAACAATTCTTATAACTTGTTTCATTACATTGATTATAATCCCCTCCATATACCATCAGTTAACAGTATTTCTCTCTATCCATGTTAGCTTTTTAAGAAAAACACAAACAAAAAGACCCCACTCAGGCATATATAATAATTTACATCTCTTAAGAGCACATTCTGCAAGTCTGCTCCTGGCCACCAGCTCTTAGTCCTTCTCTTCTAAGTCCATAAATCTAGAGTCCTCAGCCGCTCCTCCTCTCCATGCCCCCATCTCTGCCTCCATCTCTGGCACTGCTGCTTCTCTGGATAAGGTCCTGCATTCTGCTTGTGCATTCCTCTCTTGATGGTCCTAGGGTCCTCTGTTTCTGGACTGTAAGTTTAACCACTCCCCTTTTCTTGTTATAAAACTTCTACCTTTACAATTGTGACAGTCAAGATTAGTCATGATAACAGTTATTCACTATTGAATCTTACGAATCGTATCCCCATTTCCTTTCACCAGACCCATCTAAACAAGATGATAGCTATTCAGTGGGGACTCTTTCTTTCCCCTCACACTCTTAAACTAAGCTCCCTCTTGAAACCTTGTAAGCCAGTCACTTTGTGCCTTTATTGCCCCCTCATTTTAGATAGCCAATGTCTAAGTTGCCCATCCCTATCTACCCTGTGCACAGAGCGGATAGCATTGATACTTGATTTGAAGACTCTTTCCCTCTCTGTTGGTATTTAGAGTAACTACCGCTCTGAGTATAGGTCAGGTTCATCATGAAGATGTATCTTCTGTCACTGTAGCTGTTCTAGTCTGCTTGTCCTTTCTAGTGGGAATGTCTCACCTCATAAGGTTGTGTGTGGGACTCAGGATTCCACCTAAGGTCCTATACTCTGTAAAGGCTTTGCATGAGGCGTATTTCACTGGGCAAGTTGTAGAACCCCTTTTAGGTATTCCAATCAGTTATAGGCTGAATGCGGGATTATAGGTTTTCTCTGATCATGTTTCCCAACATTCCTTTCTATCCCACTCAAGTGTCTATTTTACAATAGTAGGCAAGGAAGGGTATTCTGTGTTGTTGGCGGAGCTCTTCACTACACTTCCACTCGATCCGCCATCTTGCTTGTTCTTTCCCAAAGTACTTTTAATATTCTCTTTCAACACTGTAACTTAAATCCTATAATGAATCTTTTCTTGAGCATGAATTAACCTCAGAGCTTAGGAAAAAAATATACCTGCTAATGTGAATTCAAGTGGTATCACCAAAATACCTTTTGGGGGGGGATGTAGAGTGGTGGAGTTATTGCCTTTAGCTTGCATTCTTTGACAAAAGACATAACTATGTATGTGTGTCTTATATGATATTAAACATGAAGTACACAGTTGTATTGATCTTTATTTACTAATTTAATGCTCTATAGTCTATTGTATTTTTCTTTGTCTTAAGGTATCATTAAAGAAGCTTGAAAGTTTTGTTTTGAGAAATTGAATGTTTATTCAGCATACACAGGAATTACATCCATTTACAGGGATTTTTTTTTTTTTTAAGTTTTTATTGGGAGTTGAGTGAAAGTTTACAGGGCAGATCATCATCAGTTTTGCATTCAACAATCAAAGACCTTGTTTCATTACAATGATTGTAATTCCCCCTTTCATGTAACAGTATTTCTCTCTTCATTTTAGCTCTCTTTTTTTTTTAAAACACTCACACATGTATAACAATTTACACCACCAAAGGCTACATTCTGCATGTCTGCTTCCTGGCCACCAGCTCTGAGTCCTCTCTTTCCATGAGCCTAGTCCTCAGCTGCTCCCTCTCTCCATGTCCCCATTTCTGCCCCCATCTCTGGTGCCGCTGCTTCTTTGGATAGGTCTCATTCTCATTCCACTTGTGCTCTTCTCCCTCGATGGTCCTAGGGTCCTCTGTTTCTGGACTGTAACATTAGCTATACTTCTGTTTTTGTTTTAAAATTTTTGCCTTTACAGTTGTGACAGCCATAATTAGTCATGATAACAGTTATTCAGTATTGAATCATAAGTATCATATCCCCATCTCTTTTTACCAGACCCATCTAGATAAGAAGAAAACTATTCAGTGAGGACTCTAATCTTCCCCCAAACACTCTTAAACTAAACTCTCTTGTGAAATTTTGTTAGCTCGTCACTTTGTGCCTTTATCACCCCCTCATTTTAGGTCACCAGTGTCTAAGTTGACCGTCCCTAATTGATACTTGCTGTGAAGACTCCTTCCCGCTCTGTTGGCATTTAGAGCTACTACCTCTGTAAGTATAGGTCAAATTCACCAAATTGTAGCAATTTACCCTCATTTCCTTTATCAAAAATTGTTTTTGTTTTTTGTTTTTATCTTCCTCTAGTCGAGTTCTGATTATCAAGCCATCAAGGCTAGGTCAAATGGGTACTATCTGCAAGTTTCAGCTGGATACATGGGTTCTTTATTGATCAAGTTCTGAAGACAAAGAGATGTACTTATCCTTGAATCGAGTTTACCTTCTCAATACTCTCCCCAGGTTCACTCATGTTTTCCCTCTCTTGTCATTCCAACTAATAGAGTAAAGTCATCCACAGTTTTTAAAAAGAGACATCCATATTCAAATATTTATTTTCTTTTGTAATAGCAGACTTTTATATATATATATATATATAAATTACAGTATAATGTTGTGTGGTATGCAGCCTTAGGTCATTCTCATGGGGTGACCTTAGTCTTTACTGTCTTTGGCATAGAAATCACTTATTGATAAGATAAATGGCTATCTTTCGAGCATGTTACACTTTTATAGATTGATCATCTATTATATATGAAACTGCTTTGGGTACTAATAAAGTCATTTTTCACTTTAATGTTACTTGCTATCTGTATTTGCTTTCATCTATCTATTAAAGCCATGTTTGTCATTTGTCTTCATACATTTTTTTCATTATTTCTGCCACTTCATACATCATCAAAAACTTTACTATCTTATGTAGTATAGTCCCATCATATGTACTGTTAGCTTATGTGAGTTCAATTCTAAGTGCTTGAAAAGATACTTGTGAAACTATATCACTTCAAAATATAAGCTGCCCAGTTTATCTGGGAAGGAGCCCTAGTGATGCAGTGATTAAGTACTTTATTCTTAACTGAGAAGTGTTTGGTTTGAACCTACCCGTGGTTCCGTGGTAGAAAGATGTGATAATCTACTTCTTTAAAGATTACAGCCTTAGAAACCCAAAGAGGCAGTTCTGATCCATGCTGTGTAGGGTCACTGAGTTGGAATTGGCTTGATGCAGTGGATTATTTAGTTTATATGATGATTAGCCAAAGAAATAGTAATCTGTTTAAAAGCTAATGGGAAAACAGGATATGCACACTGTAAAGTAGTATGGTGTATATAAAACCATACTTTTGAGGAGTAATACTAGGGATTTTTTAAAAGGATAATTTTTATCACATGTAGTTTTTATATTTGTAAATTTAATACAAAAATTCCTGTAAGATGCAACTCTAGTCCAGTAAGATAGTTTAATACTTTATTAACTAGAATTTGTTGTTGTTAAGAGCCATCGGGTTCCGACTCATAGCCTGTGTAGGGTTTCCAAGGAGCGGCGGGTGAGTTTGAACCTTCAACCTTGTGCTTTATCCCACAGCACCACACATATCTTAACAATAATTACTGTCATAGCTTATACTTCAACCTGTGCTGTAAATATAATATCTGATATATAAATAAGGAGTCCTGGTGTGGTGCTGTGGGTTAATGCACTGGACAGCAAAGTCAGTCTGAACTGTAAGGCTGATGGTTCACGCTCACCAGCTGCTCCTTGGAAACCCCATACAGGATCCCTGGGGGTCAGAACTGACTCAACGGCACTTAACAACAACAACAACAACAATCTTAGTAAGGGAGCATGGTGGCTCCATACGATAAGCACTGGGCTGTGAAGCACAAAGTCAACGGCTCCAATCTGCCAGCCACTCTGGGAGAAAGCTAAGGCTTTCTGCTCCTGTGAAGATTGAAGTTTAAAGCCTCAGAAATCCTATACAGGGTGGCTATGAGTCAGAACTGACTAGGTGGCACTTGATAACAGTAAGGAGTTCTGGTGTGATGCTCTAGGTTAAGCAGTGGATTGCTGACGTCAAGATCAGTAGTTCAAACCTACCAGATGCTCCTGTGAAACCTTATACAGGGTCACTATGAGTTAGAATAGACTCGACAGCACTTAACAACAACAATAATTTTAGTAATGTTTATACCACTGTAGAAGCAAATTGCTTTATGAACATATCAGAATTTGTACAGTGAAATTTGTGGCATCCCCCCATCACTACCCAACCTCCCCCCACCAAAAAAACTAGGAAACTTATAAACTTGATGTTGTTATTGCCCTCAAAATTTTTGCCATTCTATTTTTGGACTTAGTTTCAGTGTTTTTAATATATTTTAAAAATATTTTTAGTGGTAGTTGATATTCAAGTAAAGTGGGTATTGAAGTCTCTCTCTGAAATAAACAATGAAGTGTTGTTAATTTCGTACTTTGGGATTCTACACCTTTTTTTTTTTTTTTTTTTTTTTGAGACTATGGTTATTCAGAACATTTAGAAGCATGTTATGGGTCCTGATGGAAATACTGAAGTAATCAGCCTCATAAGATGACTTCTTTTTTGAAGATAGACCTCAATTGAACATGATGGTGGTGGTAGTGATTATGTGCCGTTGAGTCGATTCTGACTCATAGAGACCCTGAGTAGGGTTTCTGAGACTAAATCTGTCCAGGAGTAGAAAACCTCATTTTTCTCCTAAGGAGCTGCTGGTGGATTCAGACTGCTGACCTTGCATTTAGCAGCCCAACACTTAATCCGGTATGCTACCAGGGCGCCTTAATTGAGTATATAAACTCTTAGACATGAATTATGAGGTTATTCTCATTCCATTGTAGTCATATTGTCTATTTTCTTTAGCAGCCGTAAGAGTACATGTGTTGCTCTGGTTTGTCTAGTTTCCTTACAAGTCACTAAATGTTTCGCTAATACATCCTTGTGATAATTTTAAGTAAATTCATCCTTTAAATCAGAAATTTAACATCTTTTGTTTTCCTTCTCAATATAATACTCTGCTTTGGCCACAAATCTTTTTTTTTTTTTTTTCACCTGACTTCATTATTGGATTGTTAGTAAATTTTATATTGGATTATGTTGTACCTTTAATTTTGAGAAATTTAAGGCTGATGCCCTTTGGCAGTTCAAACTCACCAGGTGCTCCTCACAAACCCTATGCAAGGTAGCTAAGAGTTTGAACCAAGTCGACAGCGCTTAACAACAATATAGACATTGCAAACTTAGTGTATACACTCAGTTTTGTGCTAATTTTTATATCAATTACTACTTTGTAAGCTTCTTCATGTAAATTGATTGACTGTGTTTCTATTTGGAATCTTTCATGGCCTACAGAATAAATCATCCTGGTAATCCTACTGTGCTAACCACGTGGTCGGCAGTTCCAACCCACCAGGTATTCTATGGGAGAAAGCTGCAGCTTTTTTATGGCCTCAGAAACTCTATATAGGGTCGCTGTGAGTCGGAATTGACTCTATGGCCGTGAGTTTTGTGTTTGAAAGCCTTTTTTTCACACTTCTTTTTTTTTAAGCTTTGTGTGTGTGTGTGAATTGAGGTTTACAGACCAAATCAATTTTGCATTCAACAAATAATACACTTTGTTTCATCCCAATTACTATGAGATAAGCACTGGACCACAAGGTCAGCGGTTCAAACTCACCAGCTGCTCCTTGGAAACCCTGTGGTCGCTTTGAGTTGAAATTGACTCGACATCACTTAACTACTACAGCAATGTACCATCAGTTATCCCACTCCCTCCTTGTGTTCTTGTTTCTTCTTTTCCCTCCCTTCTGAATTGTGTCCTTAAGTAAATGCTGCCCTTAGGATCTCAAATTGTTGACCATTCTATGGTGCGCATATCTTACTAATGTTATTGTCCCCTTATATACTTATCTGTTGTTTGGCTGAAAATTGAGCCTTAGGAGTGAATTCAGTTCCAGACCTAAAGAGTGACCAAGGTCCATAGTTTGGAGATTCCATCAGTATCTCTCTGACAAGTGTGCCTTGTCTTTTTCATGACTTTGAGTTTTGTTCCACATTTTCTACCACTCTGTCCAGAACCTGCTAAAGTTTTTCACACTTCTTAATCCCAGCTATTATTACTACAATTACCATACTTGCCAAGGTTTTGTCCTTAACCTTTTTCTTTTATTCTTTCTGTTCAGATGGCCAGTTCACTAAATTACATCAGATCACATCTCGTCAATACAATCTCTAGTGAAATATTTACCATACTGATAATTCTGGCTCTTTACATTTTTATAGCACTTACTCTTACCACTCATTTAGTACTAAATGCGGACTATCTTTCATTATTCTGTATTATTATATATTTGTATGTTTCAGTTCTACATAGAATAGTCTTTGAAGGACAAGGCTCATGATTTTTCTATGTATCCCTTTCAGAACAACATAAAGCATGATTCAGAAGAATTAATAGATTACAGTAAGTTATTTGTTGAGTGATTGTTTTGCCACCTTCACTCAGATATTCAATGTGATTTTGTTTTTGTGTACCATTTTTAAAAGTCAAATATTGCAATATGTATATTAAGTAATTTCTGTAGTCTGGTTATTGTTATGTTACTAATAACTTTATTTTACAGAAGCTTAAATGAAAATGGCACATGTTCGAAGACACGAAACAAGAAGCAGTTCTAAAACTCAAGTTCCTGAACAGAAATCACGAGTTGATTGGCAGCGGACTAAAAGAAATAGTATCTTACAATTAAAGGATAGTGATGAAGAGCTTGATAGCGTTGAAGAGCTTGATAGCGATGAAGAGTTTGACAGTGATGAAGAGTCTGAACTTGATGAAAGTGTTGATAATGATGAAAGCATTAATAATAGTGAAGAAGTCGATACTAACAAAGGTCATGATAACAACAAAAAGCCAGAAAATGAGAGTGAGCTGAAATTAATTATTGTTGAAAATGAAGTAGATAGCAGTAAGCACCTCATTAACGCTGGCAGTTGTTCAACATCTGAAGAAGAGCAGAACAAAAGCAAACAGAATATTATTGACTTTCCAGAGCATGAAAGTCATCCGAATCAGAAGGATGATGATCTCAACAAACACTCTGAAAAAAAACTAGAAGAGGACTTGGATGAAGAATGCATCAAGAGAGGAAAGAGAAAAAGGGTCTCCTCCTCAGTGATGTATGACAGTGATGAGAGTGATGACAGCGATATTCTAGTTAGAAAAGCAGGAGCCAAGCATCCACGTAGAGTGATTGAAGATGAGTGTTCTTCAGCAGAGATGGAGCAAACCAACCCTGAACACTCTGTAGTTGCACGAAAGAGAGAACAACTTCAGAAGCTGAAAGAACTTTCAAAACAAAGATCTCGTCAGAGACACAGCAGTGGTAGTGATTTTGAGGTGTGTTTTATTTTGTTTTGTTTTACTGTTTTAAAATTTCTATTTCAAATATCTAAAGTTTATGAAAAGTGAAAACGTTAAGTCTGTTCTATTTCTCAATAATCCTGGAATTTATTTTTTAATCAAGTATCCTTTAACATGTTTGATTGTACTATTGTATCTATTATAGCTTGGTCATGAGTTTTCAGTCCATCACTTCTTTTTAGAAATTGAAAGACTGTTATTTTATTTGGTCTTTCCCATTTTTAACTTCTACTTATGACCTTATTGTTCATTTTAAGCATTTCACATCACTTAATTAAGGTAGGTGGTTGTTGTTAAGTGCAGTTGAGTCAATTCCAACTCATAGCAACCCTGTAGAGGGTTACTGAGGAGCAGCTAGTGGGTTTGAGCTGATCTTGTGGTTTGCAGTTCAGTGCTGATCCTATAGCGCCATACTAGGATATTCTAATTTCAAAAGTTGAATATTTAACATTACAAGATTTTTTATTAAATCGTAAAATATGAACTGTTTTATGGATCATCTTTGTTTTCAAGATTCAGTATTTTCACATCACATTCATACTGAAATTTTTAAATATGTTGAAATGTGTGTTTTGATTTAATTAGAACTCTGAAAAAGAATCCTGCCCAGGTAATGATGAGGAAGATGATGATGAGATCGAGGATTATGAGTCTGATGAAGATGGAGACGATTATGTTATTGATGACTTTATAGTACCTGATGAGGAAAGTCAGCAAGGAGAAAAACTGACTACTTCACAACTAAAATTAATAAAACAGAATTCTCTTTGTAAGTTAAATATTAAGAAAATAGTTTTTGCAAAATGTTATGGTATATCAGGTCTGCTTTTTAATATTGTATTTTAAATCATTGATTAGGAATTATGATTTCAGGATAGTTTATTCCACTGGGATCTTTTATAATCTTAAAAATTATTATGGACTCCGAAAACTTTTTTTTTATGGGTTATATCAATATAAGCATAAAATTTAAAAATATTTACTAATTTAAAACACCACTAATAAACTCATTATATGTTAACAGAGATAACTTAGTTTTATGCCAAATGACTTTTTTTACTCAGAAAAATGAGACGACTGACATTTTAAAAATTATCTTTAATATGTAACTTAGTCTCTGGTAGCATAGTGGTTATGAATCGGGCTGCGAACCTTAAGGTCAGCGGTTCAAAACTACCAGCCGCTCTGCGGGAAAAATATGAGGCTTTCTACTCCCGTAAAGATTTACACCCTCGGAAACCCTGTACAGGGTCGCTATGGGTCGGAACTGACTCAATGGCACTTAACAACAACAACAACAGCATGTAACTTAGTAGAAGGCAGCTGGACTTGAATTTAATCTGTTGTGATGATTTTATTTTGGTTGAAGTGGATGAAAATTTGGTCTCACACAGTTATATAGTTGGAAAAAGGAAGAATACTTTTAGTATTTTCAAAATAATTGTGGATATTCTTCTTTGATACTATACCAAAACTCAACAAATGATAATTTCTTAGACATTATTTGCAATATGGACTCTGAAATAATATAAACTAACTTTTAATACTCCCTTACACTACAGCTTATTGGTTTATTTTATAGTCTGAATGGATCTATGATTTTGTAATATCATGCATTGGTCATTTGGGAAATAGCAATTCACATAGTTATGCAGATCTTTCAAATGTTGATATATTTTATTGTAGGATAGAAAATAATTCAATTAGTACTCCTATCAGTCTCAGAAAATTGTTTCAGCATTGGGAAACTGTCAAGCTCACAGTAGCAGATAAAAGTTTTTTAAAATTCTGATCTCTACTTTAAAACTTGATTTTTATCATTGACAACAAATATTCTTAGTTCATGTTGAAATGACAGGTTCACTTCATTCTATTTTGAAAAACAGTCTGCCAGATACCCAAGCCTGAATAACCAGTTTGTCATTCTTTCAAGTAAAAATGGTATTTTGTGTAAAGTGAGGCCTTTTCAGCTGATTTTCCTTAAAACAAGCATCATACTGTGGAATGAAGCATGTTTTATCTTTGCATTTCATCCCATGGAGAGCTAAAAAGCTGTGTATTCAAGTTCAAGATTAATAAAATGAATAACTTTTACTATTTTATGGAGAACATCCTGAAGTAAAACTAGCTTTTTTTGTTTTGTTTTTTTAAATGAACTGTAAGTACAACGCAGTGATAACTGCAATGATTACTTATAGATAGGTGCTAATGCTATGGTTTATGCTAAGGGCTCACCTGTTTTACCCACCATTGCTTTTGTACCATGAGTACAAAATGTTTACAGAGTGGAAAAACAAATACATTATATCCTAAAGTTATTACTTGATTCTGCTGTCGATTCTGACTCATAAAGACCCCATGTGTGTCTAAGTAGAAATGAACTCCTTAAGATTTTTAATGGCTGATTTTTCTAAAGTAGATCACCAGACCTTTCTTCTGAGATACATGGGTTAGCAGCCAAGTACATAAACTCTATGCACCACTTTGGGTCTCCAAAGTAGCCCTGGTGACACAGTGGCTAAGTACTGCTAACCAAAATGTAAGTGGTTCAAACCCACCAGCAACTCTGAGGAAGACATGTGGCAGTCTGCTTCCATAAAGATTACAGCCTTGGAAATGCTATGGAGCCTTTTTATCTGGAGTTCTGGTAATGTAGTGGTTACAAGTCAGACTGCTAACTTCAAGGTCAGTAGTTCAAAACTACCATGGGAGAAAGAAGAGGATTTCTGCTCCCATAAAGATTTATAGCCTGGGAAACCCTCTACAGGGTCACTATGAGTCGGAAGCGACTCCATGGCACATAACCACCACCTCAGGATTATTATGAGTCACAATCGACTGAACGACTATGGGTTTAGTTTTGGGTTTGAGGACTCCATGGATCTGTAAATCACAGTTTGAGAACTAGCGATTTTTTTTCAAGACGTGTGAGGATTCATTCAAACAGAATTCTGAAAAAATATTGGGTATCTTTAAATGTTATTACTCTGATTCCTATGTTATTATTGTTAAGTACTGTCCAGTTGGTGCTGACTCATAGTGACCCTGTATAGGGTTTCCGAGGCTATAAATATTTGCGGGAACAGAAAGCCTCATCTTTTCCCATCAGATTCCTAGGTTGTTGTTGTTAGGTGCCATTGAGTCGGTACTGACTCATAGCGACCCATGTACAACAGAACGAAATACTGCCCAATCCTGGGCCAAGCTATAGCTGTACATAAATTTGAAGATTGTTTTTATTGTGGTTTACAACTCTGGTATTAACAGACTGTTAGACTGATATATTTTGTATTTTTTCCTTAGATAATGCATTCTTTGCAAATATTTTAGGAAAGGCAATATGTACTAAAACTGAATATATCATAGTTCAATTTATATCTCACAATTTATAATCAAATGGAAGTGTGTACCAAATTTCCAGAAAATTTGGCAGTTACAGAGATGCCACTGTGTTAGCTATGATAATGATTCTTTTCTTTCTATCGCTCAATTTGAAGGAGTTTTATTGTTCTGGATTATATAGCACATTTGCTAAGAGATCCGCTCATACTCAGTCCTGCTGATTAAGGAAAAATAGAAGTCCAACCTGTGAGAACCATTTCAACTTCCTTCTATACTCTATATACCCTTGCTTACTGTAAATACTGACTAGACCTAAGGGGATGACATATCTTATTTTTTCTGCCATACCTTTTATTTTGTGTGGTTCTGATTGCACCATCTCCTGGGACTCTATCTACTTTTTTTGTGTTGTGGTTGGTTTGTTTTTTTTTAATAACTATTTTTACAAATTCTCTTTCCTCAACTTGCCTTTCCTTCTGTAACTAGGCATGCTTTGTTAGGCTTCTGGTGTGGTGCTGTTGGATAAGCCCTGGACTGTGAACCACAGGGTCGGATGTTCAAATCCACCAGCTCCTTCTTGGAAACCCTGTACAGGGTCACTGAGTCAGAATGAACTCGATGACACTTAACTACAAGAGCATTCTAAATCTGATTGCCACATAAACATTGATGTTTTCAAGGATTCCATTCCCTAAACTACCTTTGTTTTGCTCGTGCTTTGAGCAGTCTCTTACTCATTAGTTCATCTCAATACACAAGCAGAAATACCTACGTTTTATCTCTAGCCCAGATTTCTTCTGAGCATAAGACCTAAATTTTCATCATTTTACTGAACAACTTTATTAGGGTGTCTTTCGGGTACTTCATATTCAGTATGTGCAAAACTGAATGATTAAGAGGTAGTTGTTGTTAAATGCTTTCAAATGGGTTCCAACTTATAGTGACTCCTGTATACGGTTTCCAAGGAGTGGCTGGTGGGTTTGAACTGCCAATCTGAGGTTAGCATTGCAAAGCTTATCCTACAGCATCACAGCAGGATTCCACATGAGACATAGCATGAAGGAATGTTTGACCGGTGATAGAACTGTTCTTTGTGGTGCTGGTTACATGACTTTATGTATTTGTCAAAATTCATTAAATTGTATACCAAAAAGTTAATTTTACTCTGTGAAGAAAAGTACAGCTTAATAATAATAATAAAAAAAAAAGTGGAATGGTTAATCAGCTTTCCTTGTCTATATGTTTTTAGGAACCATTAGAGCTTCTGACACATTATAGGAACATATTCTTAGTTGAATAGCTGGATAATGGATTGATGGGTGGAAGAATCAATTGAGTACCTTGACTGAAGTCTCCTGGCTTTAAAAGTCTTAGAAAAATGCTTCATGTGATCAGATTTTTTTAAACAGCAAGAGAAAAAACAATCACATATTCTAGATAATTGACAGCTTGGATAATGGTTTCAGTACTTACCAATATTTGTATCATATATAAATATGATAAATAAAATTTAATATGTTATTGTTATTAGGTGCCATGTAGTCAGTTCTGATTCATAGCAACCTTAGGAAAAAAACAAAACAAAACCAGAATGACAGAATGAATTGTTGCTACGCTTGAGCCCATTGCTGTTGCCACTGTGCCCGTTTATCTCTTTGGGAGTCAACCTCTTTTTTGTTGACATTCCACTTTACCAAGCATGATGCCCTTCTTCAGGGATGGGTTCCTCCTGAAAATGTGTCCAAAGTGTAAGAGACGAAGTCTTACCATTTTGGCTTCCAAGGAGCATTCCGGTTTTACTTCTTCCAACACAGATTTGTTTGTTCCTTTTGGCATTTTATGGTACCTTTAATGTTTTTCTCCAACATATTTCAAATTCATCAATTAGTCTCTGGTCTTCCTTATTCATAGTCCAACTTTCCCATGCATGTGAGGCTCTTAAAAATACCATCGCTTGCTTTAGGTGTACCGTAGTCCTCAAACTGACATCTTTACTCTTGAACACTTTAAAGAACTGTTGTGCTGCAGATTTGCCTAATACAGTACGTGTTTGATTTCTTGACCGCTGCTTCCATGAGTGTTGATGGTTGATCTGAACAAAATGAAGTCTTTGACAACTTCAATCTTTTCTCCATTTATCATGATGTTTATTTATTGGTCCGGTGGTGAAGATTTTTGTTTTCTTTACATTGAGGTGCAACCCATACCAAGGCTGTGGTCTTTGATCTTCATCAGTAAGTATTTTAAGTCCTCTTCACTTTCAGCAAGCAAGGTTGTATCATCTGCATATCTCAGGTTGTTAATGAGTCTTCCTCCAGTCCTGATGCCATGTTCTTCATATAATCCATCTTCTTGGATTATTTGCTCAGTATATAGAATGGAGTCCTGCTGTGGTGCTATGGGTTAATGTGCAATGTTGTCCATAGC